AGAACTTCCTTCACAGCACACATACACACACGCACGCACAAAACCATAGGGGAAATCGTGAAGCAGGACCCAGGGCACATACAATGCATGGCCAGCATGCCCTGGTTGCAGAAATGACCCTCACGATGCTGGGGACCCTCACGATGCTGGGGCTCAAGCTCCTTCGATCGAAAAAGTCTCTTGCCCCCCCAAACCCAGTGAGGGATGCGTGGGCTCATGAGACACTGGCTCGCAACGCGTGGGGCCGCACCCCCCCTCACTGAGTTCAGGGCACAGCTCAACCGGGACAGGCCAGCCGGATAGAATCCGATCGATGGCTGCATACAAAGTCTGCTAGTCAGTCCGAATGTGTTTGATGTCATGGAAGCTGCGCGGGTCAACCCATGGGCGCGGGTACTTTGGTTGGCCAACCAGTCCGCACCTCTGTCGCCAGCAATATATCTCCCATCGTCCGCAGTCGCAGTTTTCGGGCCTTCTCGGCGGGCCTTCGCATGCCTGGCGCTTCTCCAGGCTTCGGCCATGCCGGCAGCAGTCTTTCGAAAAATGGGCATGGAGCGCGTTCCCGCCGGGTGCTGCTTCGGGGCTGAAGGCAGCCTTCAACAGAGCGGCGAAAAATATGCTGGCTGGGCAACGCTTCCTCGGCGTGCACAGCAGCTGCCAAGGTGGCGTCGTGCTCCGCCGCGGCAAAGCTCCGGCCAAACGCGGGAGGGGTCCGCGGGTGCCCCGAACCAGCCGACCAGCAGAGCCCAGCTCACAGACGCCGACGCAAGCGCGAGCCAGGCCCGAAAAACAAGTCGGAGGCTGGACCTGCCAGAGTAAACTGCCACGCCATTCAAAATTCCAAGGCTGGGCGCCCCTTCGAACATCCGCCCGCGCACCGGAGACCCCAGTCTTCGATGGGGTTTGGCACCTCAATGCGAGGGGGGCCTGGCGCGAAAGATACTGGCCGTTCGATGACCGAACGTTCCCGGCGCCTTCAAGGAGGCAGGGCGGGTGAACCTTGAGTCGCTGTTGTTCTCCGCGCGGCCACTCCCATATTCGATGGGAAACAATGTCAGTCTTCGGGCAGCGCAGGCACTTGGGGCCGAGGATGCATCGCCAACGTCGCAGCGCTACTGCCACGGGGGCGGCTCCTCATATGTCCTCCTTTACGCCGGCAATCGCGCTAGGCGGCAACTGCCGTGCATTCTTTGACAGGAGGACTCGGCAGCGGCATCCCGCGGCAGTCCTCGGGCATCGAGGGCTTGGGCCTCCTCGTCTTCGAGGCGGGCGATTGTTCTGGCGGCGCATTGCGGGGCCCTCGCGCCTTTTAGCTGCTGCGCAATATCCTCGGCAACATGAGCGGGCGAAACAACATGGAGCAAGATATCGACGCATTTCGAGTCGGCGACGACGGGCGGGCCCGGAGAAGCGCGCCCGAGAGCTCCACCCTCGCCCGCGGGCCCAGAGCAGCACGTCCGACAGTGGACCCCTGCCGCGAGAAAACCTTTCGCGACTCGGCGGGCGGGCAGGCGGCGCGGCCACCTGAGCCTGCAGAAAAATGCGCCGCTGGGCAGGCGCGACTGGGTCGCCCTGCACCGGCAGGGCGCCTTGCCCAGAATACGCGGCCATTCCACCGTTCTGGCGCGCACGAATGTTTCATCGTGCCCGCAACTCCGAGCGGGCCCCGGATCTACGGAGACCCCAAGACAGCTCCGCATCAACGCGCCGCGCTCCGACTCCACGCGCGGTCGCGGCAGCCGGTCGCAGGCGGCCGACCTGACAGAGGCCGAACGCGGAAACGTCGCCTGCTTCAGTCACAGCGGGGGTAAAATTTGTGACCGCGGGCCTCGCTTCAGCTCCTGGACTTCCTGTAAACTGTCTGAGACGTCGGAAGTGAAGGGAGGGCCCGGTGCAACGGGGCCAACGCCTATATTAATGACCGAACACTCCACAGAGACCCCGCGGCATACCCACGGCTGCCTCGCCGACCTTCAGAGCTCGACTGGGCGACGCGAACATGCAGGGCTCACGGTCAGCAAGCGGGAGCTCGAGGTGAAACGTCAGCTCACGGCCAACAACATTGAAGTGAATGGGCACTTCCTCGGCAAGCTCCAGGTCGGGCACGCCCCTTTACAAACGGAGATTGAACGACAAACAAAAGAATCAACGCGCATTTCAAAATGCTAGCAAATACTGTGTGATGCCCCCTGTTATTGTTTTACTACGTTTGGGTGTTCCCCCTGCAACGGGGCGCGCCCGACTTACGGCGAGCTCGATGAGATCTGGCCAGCGCGCGCGATCTACGTGGAAGGGGGGCGCGGCATTGTCAGGTAGCTCCGAAGTATGCTGCGGCGGGAGAAGCCCCCACAAGCGCCACCCTCGGCAGGCAGGCGCCTAACATGTGGATGCCGTCGCACTGCAGAAGCCGAGGCCATGCGCGGCTGGATGGACAGCAGCGCGCCGGCGACCGGAAAATCATTGTTTGACGCATTCTGCAATGGAAACAAAGATGGCACATGCCCTTAGAACCGCGGCAGACCCCATCGGAACTTCGACCTCGTGGATATCTACCATTGCGAGCCGACTCGGCCAGCGCAGCTAGGCGCAGGACGTTGTCTGCCAGGCAAAACGCGCAATAAACGGCCCCCCGATCCGCGCGCCCAGCTTCAGAAGTTCGCCAGGGTGCCCAGCTCGCCGCTCCGCTTGCGCGCTGAGGTTGAAAAGGCCTCGGGGGCTGCCGAAGTGAGATCCGCGAGGCAAGAAAAAATTACAATTATTCCCAAGGCGGGGTCCAGGAGGGGGGGGCACCCCGCGGGCGCCAGCCGTCTGGATTGCGCGTGTTCTTACCAGATTTGCGGCCACTGTCATCCTAGACGGGCCAGGCAAAGGCCGGGCGGACCTCTGGCGGGGCCGCTGAATTTTTGGCCTGCCACACTTCAGACCGCCGTTGTTTTTCAGTGCATTCACGCGCCCCCCGGGGGGGGGGGGGGGGGGGGCAGGCCTGGCGCGCAAACTTTGGCGGGCGTAGGCGCCCCGTGGGTATGACTGCATGCTCGACGCGCCCCATTGTCCCATTGCCTTTTAGCGTCGCTATGACCGCGGGCGCCCGCGAGCTGCGAGCGCGACGGAAGCCAGTGGTCGCGCGTAAACTGGGCAAGGTCGAGCACCTGCTCGAGAGAAGCGCAGGGGCGCTTTCGACCGGCGACTGGACCGCGCATGCAACTCAAAACAGAACAGGGAACCAGACGCGCCCGCCCTTATTCCAGCGCCCACTGAGAAGGACCCCCGCGAACCTCGAACAATGGCAGCTGAATCACAAGGTTCGCGAGGTCAGCGCGGCGTCACAGGGCCCCTAGCCGCTAGAGGCCCTGCGCCCATTGAGAAAGGGGGGCCGGGCTTCCCGCGGCGTCTGCAATGCCCGCGCCATCGCTCTTCGGGGGCCGAAGCGGCTGCGCGGGCTGCGCGGGGCAACTTCTTCACAGGAACAAGCGCCGATTCATGCGGGCTGCCTGCCGGGGGAGGGGGGGGGGCTCGGGCCGGCGCGCCCAGCTGCCTCGCGAACCTCCTTCTGCGACCAGATGTTCCAGCCGTTGCGAACCTCGTTCATGACGGCCAGCACGTGGTCACGGATCTCCCCCGAGCGAGCGAGTTCGTCTCCTGTGTAGAAACGCATCCACTGATCCATCCAAACCCTCGTCGCTTGGCGGTTCCATCGCCGGGCCCATGACCCCGGTTGACAGCGCAGACGCGGTCGCCATGGGCCCGCGGGATGACCCGGCACCCCCCCGACAGCTCGAGCGCAACGCGTGCGCCTGGTGAGGCGCGGATGTCCGCGAGTACCTGAACGGGCGAAAACGCATCTCAGTTACGATGGATCCGCAAGTAGTTGGTCGTGGACAAATGACAATCCAGCGCGCGCGACGGCTTCGCCCAATCAGCTCTCGCGATACCTCTTAGCCCATGCAAAGGGATGGCCTCGTTCGGCATCGCGGGGCCGTCGCTGGAGCCACTTCCGATGGGCGCCCCCGGGCCCCGAGACAACGAGCGCCTCGGCCGGCCAGTGAAGGGGGCGAGGTCCGGCCACGCCGGCGTCGGCGGGGCTCCGCGCGACCTCGCGGGGGGGGGTCGCGCGGTCGCGCGAGGGGGGCGGGCCGCCGCGGGGCCCGTGAAGATCCAAGCAATTGGCAGCCCCCCACTTGCGCGCCCCGACCAAGGCAGGTTCGGCCCGAGGCCAGGGGGGCGCGCCCGCGGCGCGCGAGGCAGCCGTGGCGGATGCGACATCGACTGCGCAATCGATGGCGGAGGGGGGCGAGAACAGGGCGACCTCCGCGCCGGACGGCGAGGGGGAAGGAGACGCGGCCGCGGCGGCAAAGGGGCGCCGCGGTAGACTTCCGCTCGCGCCCCCTCGGCCCCCCAGACCAGCCGCCCAGGCCGCCGCAGCCAGACGTCGCGGCGCCCCCGGGCAGGGCGCCGCCGACGGCGCCGCCGTCAGAGGAGGAGCGGCTGCCGCCGCGATGCGGACAGCGCTGGGGAGCACTCCTGCCCGCGAGGAGGACGCGCTGGCGCCGCGCGACTCGGGGCGCCCGCGGGCAGGCGCCAGTCGCGCTGGGCAGGGGCCTGATGGGGGGGGGCGCAGCGGATTTAGGTGCGCGAGTTGTGAATGATCAGGGGCTTCGAGGACCAAGTCTGCGCGCGTTTCGGGAGGCGCCGGGGATCGGACACATGCCGAATTCAGACGTCAGCGCGGAGGTCGCCGAGGCCGCGACTTTCCGCGCGGCGATGCTCGGGCGGCCGATCGCGCCAGAGCAGCGCGGATAGGCGTGGCTTGGAGCTCAGGTCACCGCGCGAGGAACGCGTGAGACAGCGAGCCAGCGGCGCGGCATCCAGCGGGGCGAGGCCGCCGGATCGGGAGGCGCGACCCGCGGAGGGGCCAGCCGCCGAGGAGGAGGGGGGCGCGGCGGCGACGCCAGCGGCGCTTTGAGCCGCAGCTCGGCCCCGCAGAGAACGCGGCCCGCGGGGGCGCGCGCATGCCTGGACTTCGGCGCCCGTGGTCTCGATTCGCCTGTCATTTCTGGGAGCAGGGCCTTCTCCTGCGCGCAGGTGCAGCGGGCGACGAGCGCGAGGTGACCTGGATCCTCGAGCCGAACGGGTGCCCGCAAACGCGCATATTGCTTCACTGGGATCCAAACTCCCGCTGGAAACCTGCAACCTGCCCGCGGTGGCGCTGACTGCTCGGCCGCCGTGAACTCGCCGCCCTGTTTCCCGCAGTCGCTCCGCGCCGCCCCATCGCCTGCGGGCTGGAAGGCGGCGCCCCTGGACTAGAAGCGCATCTTCACGCGCGAGAGAGTGCGACAACGTTCCCACAGTGCGTCGGCACGAATAGCCACAGCCTCCAATCCGCGCTGGCCCACCTGCAACTTACCCGACGGAAGAGACGCAGACTCAGACGCGGGGCGCGCTACCCAGGGTTCGGCAACGCGCCCGCGAGCAACTGATTCTGACCAATGTTTGCGCGGCCACATCGGGCGCCAGTGGGCAGGAGCTGGAGCCATTCATGCTGATCCTGACCATGGCTCCTTTCAGAATTTGACGGGCGCCCCTGGCGTTTGACCCGCACCTGGCAGTGGGCCCTGCCGCGGGCGCCACTGATCTAGACGAGGCCACTGATGTCGAATGCGATCTCATCCCTGACCCTCCAGCGATTTCAACCGACAGGGCCAAGGGGCCCTCGGGACCACTCGCCACATCAAGACCTGTACGAGGTCGGGTTGCGCCTGCCGAGCCGTTGCAATTTTCTCTGAGTCGGGGTTCGGAAGGCAGACGTGGCCACGACGAAGCATTTGTCCAGGCCTGCCGCACCCACGACTATCAGGAACACTTCTAAAAGTGGTTCCTGCCGTGGGCGCCACCGAAGTACACGAGACCATTGAGCTCACCCCTGACCCGTCCAATGATTCGGCTCGACAGGACCGCGCGGTGAGGTCTCCATGGATGGCAGCTCGCCATTTCCGGACCTGCGCTCGGCCTCGTCTGCCGAGCCGTCACCGCTTTCTCTGGGTGAGGGGTCGGAGGACAGACGTGATCACAGGGCCTATGTCCTGGGCTGCCGTGCTCACGGACATCCGGACTGCTGCGCGCCAGCTCCTTTCGTGAACGGATTGGTGTCCTGCTTGTCGAATCCACTGCTGATGTTGCACTTTCTTTTGCCTTGTTACTAAAGCCTTAGTGCGTTCCGTCTGGCTTCGCCGGCGGGGCCGACAGCTGAGACTGAGATCCTGGGGAGGTGTCACCGCCAACCTCGGGTTCTGTCATCGACTGACCATCGTTTCCACGCTCGCTGTTGCCAGCCAGACGCTTCTTCTGTGCCTCGTGCTCGGTGTGAAGGTGCTCCGCCTGTTTCTTGATATTACCGAACATTGACTGCGTCGCATCTTGTACTTCCTGCTGAACTTCCTGACGGCGCTTGCGAGCCTCATCCTTATGCTCGCGTGCGAGGTCCAAAGTCTGAGTGAGCTTAAACATCTCATTCGGGTCAGGGTGAAGCTCGGACTTACCGTCCGTGATAGAAGACAAACCGATTTAGTTGGTTGACAAAACAGGCTGCAAGGGGCCCACGACTGTCACGTGAAGCTTCTGGATAACAGTCCGTTAACCCTTTGACGCGCTGGTCAATATGGCGCAGGACTTCTTTGATCTGGATTGCCTGCTGGGCCCGCCATTCCTCCGCACGCTACAGACGCGCCACAATGCTGTTCAATTTGGCTTGTAAGCGATCGGTACGGTGCTTAGCGCCGTCCGCCGCCCCACCCCCACCACCCGCACACCCAGGGCCACTTGTTGCGGAACTGCGGGCTGCAACTTTGCTTGGTCATTGTCGGTTGTTGATTTGTCACCGAACTTGTCACACATGATAATGAGCTGTGCAGGTTCTTCCGTGCTGGGCTCTGACTGTGATGGTTCGTCGTGTAAGGGCAAACTGTGCTCCACCACCAGAAGCGACTTCCTGACCCGAAACAACGATGAGACTTGAGTGCGCCCGTTGGTGGCCGTTCGCTGTCCATGATGTTGGGTGGTTCCACAGTCTTCCACGGTGTTCCGCTGCGCTTGCGTCCAATGCTACAGTTTGCGGGAGCATCCACATGAACGCTTCCAGGCCCCACGGAGCTTGCCAGCAACAGGCGCCGTGGGGAGTGGGCCAGGGGAGAACCTGGCGGAGCCGTGGTGACTTTGCCCCTGCAGGAGCGCACGGTCTGAGCGGAACTTGTCCTCGTCTGGCACTGCACACGAAAGGACACTGTGGGGGCCGCTGCCCCCGCTTGCCAAAAGGTCAGGTCCTGAGCCGAGTCGCTACGGATTTAAGCCAACATGGCCACTGTGTCTTCCCTCCTTCCTCATCCTCCGCCTCTTCCCGCTGCTCCTCCCTCCATCCTCCTTGATCCGCCCTGCTTCCAAAATTCCTCCCAAATGTTTTGTCCCCCATATTCCGAGTCCGAAATCATGATCTCCCTCCCTCCTCCTTCTCCTCCTCCTCCTCTTCCTCCTCCTCCTGCTCCTCCACCACCTCCTCATCCTCCTCCTCCCCCCTGGTCATCCTCAACTCGCTTTTCATGGCGGAGTCGAGAATAAAGAACAACATAGACTACGCAGGATGATGAAACAATGATCTCAAGAGGGGGGCTCTCCGTCACTAGGCCTGGGCCCTTCCAGCAAGGGGTCACGGGAGATTCCTCCTTAGGCCCTGCACACGGGTACAAAGCTATCCACCAAGACGTCGTGCCCTCGACTGGCTCATCTTGTCGAAATGGCCAGGGCTGTGGCAGGCCATGCTCGCAGCGTCGTCGTCATCGTCCTCTTCCTCCTCCTCTTCCTTGTCCTCGTCGTCGTCGTCGTCGTCGTGGTCGTCGTCGTCGTCGAGGTCGTCGTCGTCGTCGCCGCCGTCGTCGTCGTCGCCGTCGTTGCTATAGCCGCACTGGAGGGGTACTGCGCAAGCTGGAGGCGGCCAATGGGGCCCGAGCTGCACGGGCCCCGAGAAGGCCTGCCGAGACGGGGGGGGCAAGAACGAGTCCGCCAAAAATCGGCCCCTGGGCCCCGCAAGGGATCCATCTGGTGCTGTCTTAAAACAAGGCGAGGATCGGGATAAATCGCTCCAGAGCGTTCCGGAGCGCTCTCAGAGCGTTCCAGAACGCTCTGGAGCGGCCGCGGCGCCCAATACATCCTCCAAACCCGCCGATTCTCAGAGAGTTCGAGTTATCCCGATCCAATTTTGTCCCGATCTTCGCGTCGTTTTATGTTTCCCCCAGATCCGTTCCCGGTCCCGGGTCCCGAACACGGGCCCCCCCAGAGCCCGAGAGAGGCAACCAACTCGCACCCAGAGCCGCGAACATCGCTCGTGACTCCACAAGCGGGGGCAGAAGTAAACAGGGTCTGAGCCTGTTCCGCATGCCCCCGTTTACTATGCCTCCGTCCACGGAGCCCAGGGCCCCCTAACCGGAGGCATAGCCGAGCGTGCAAATCGGTGTTCCCCGCGCTCCCGTTCGCCATGCCCCCCGCCCCGAGCGCCCCGACTCGCGCCCCCCTCCTGCTGGCAGCGACCAAATGCTGGGCCCCCTCGGACCCCCACCCAGCTCCAGCACCCAGGGTAGGGAGCCCACAAAGGACGTACGCGCCCAGCTATGTACATGAACACGGCCCCTCGATCAGCGAGACCGGCCGCTTATACGAACATTTGCGCAATGCGTACTCTCGAAACCAGCGTGGATTCATGTACATGTACGTCCTTCTTTCGCTCCTGACAGGGGCCCAGCGCGGAGGCATGCCGGCATGCTCGTGAGGAGCACCCGCAAGCTCGCGCTGCCGAATGGGCTGCAGACGCCCCTTGCCCACCACGCCCTGGCGTGCGAGGCCGGCCTCGAGGTCAGCGTCCGTCGGGCCTGGTGGTAGCAGTCGGTCCCACGAGCGGTGATCGTGACTACCCAGACCGTTAGGCGCCGCGGAGGACAACACGAGCAGGAATCCATTCTTGCAGTGTCGGCCTCCTGGGGGCCGTCTTCGGGCCCTGGCTCAGCGCGCGCGCGTGTGGGGGGGGGGCGAGGAAGGATGGGGAAGAGCAGGAGGAGGAGGAGAAGGAGGAGTTTCCTGTTGCTTCCAGGGACGGCTGACGCGAGCTCATGCCCAGATGGAACGAAGTGTGCTCGCAAGAGCTACGTCGCTGAACATATATCCGACCGTCCAGGGACGGCAGACTCTCTGCATTGTGACTCCCCTGGGGGCGCCCACCGCATAGTGGCCTGGCCTTTGGTGCTGAGGAGTGGAGGCGTACTGATCCCGCTACTCCCTGGACCTCTCCTGGGGTGCGTTCTGACCAGGATTTCGAAGCGAATCCAGCAGTGGCGACGAGGGCCTCAAGGAGGCCTTCGAGAAACGAAACGGGGCAAGGGCAGCGGTATCGGTGTCTTTGTCCTCGGGGGCGTCCAAGAGAGGGGCGTCCAAGAAGGGGGGCGCAAATCATGGCCGGCGGCATGTGCGCGGCCCCGGGGGGGGGGGACAGGGACGTATTGGAACAACAAGAGGCGCTATGAGATCTAGTGAGATGTCATGGCCCCCGCCATGACATCCACCCCCCCCTAGTCATCATCCCCCTTTTTGGCCGCCCCCGACCTCTCCCTCCTCTGAGGGAAGGGCGCATGCCGGGAAACCCTGAGGGCTCGCGGCCCCGGCCAGCCTTGGCAGGCATGGCGCGCGGGCTGCCGGTGCGCACGGGCCGTCCAGCGGGGGCGAAGCAGCGATGCTCGCAGGGGCAGGCGGGGGCGCACATGAGAGAAGCACGCACGCATGTACCACGGAGGCCAGTCCACAAGAAACCTTCCACAAGAAGCCCAACCCTGAGACCCCAGGACGTCCATTGACTTTGTGAGGGGACGTCACGCTGTCCATGGCAAAACCATCGGAACGCAAGAAACCCAGGGCACCCTGGAGGCAAGCAGGGTGTTTCTTGGCATGGGCCTCCACTGTATATATATATATATATATATATATGAAAACATACCATTCGCACCCCGCAGATGTTGATAAGAGTGAGGGGGCGGCGGGGACGTCGGCAGTCTGCGAGGCTCCGAGGAAGCTCGCCGTATGGGCACACTTATTCACAAACTATACAATGAGCTCGCGGCAGGCGCGGTGGGTCGCGCGGGAGGGTCGCGGGGTGGGTCGCGGGCGTGCCGAGGGTGGGTCGCGGGGTGGGTCTCGGGTGGGTCGAGGGTGGGTCGCGGCTGGGTCGCGGGCCGGGTCGCGGGGGGGACGACGACAACAAGCAACAACAAGCAACACCAAGCAACAACAAAATAACATCAGCAACAACAACAACGACGACGACGACAACAACAGTAACCGCAACGAAAACTACCACCACCAACAACACGCAACACTCAAAATAAACAACACGAACAGCAAAGCCAACAACGAACACAACAACAACAACAACAACACCATCTCCAACAACAACGACAGAGACAACGACAATGACAACGACAACAACACCACCACCACCACCAACAACAACAACAATTCGAACCGTTGAACTTCATTTCAGCCACGCGCCCAGTGACAGTGAATCTTTGGAGCTCCGCGCGGAGCTCTGGGATCTGCGCTGGAAACCCCGGCAGCGCCAGTGCAAGAAATCCACGCGGACCTCCGAGCATCCATGATGCTTGTGTCATCGTGTGTCCTCCGAAGAGAGCGAGGGAACAATCGGCAATATGAAGGGCCAAGACGGCCGGCCATGCGGGCATGCAGGGAAGAAGGGGGCGCGAAGTACGTTGGCGATGTCCACGCCCCCCGTCGCTGGTTGGCTGCCGCCAGGAGGCGCGCGAAGCGGAGCGCTGCCTAGAGCATAGCTCCCTGTCAAATGCCCGCGTGCCACGCGCTTGGCATTATTTCCACACCACTGGCGCGATGGAGACGGGAGGGTCCCTGGAACGGAGGAGTGGGGGAGATCCAGCCGTCCGCAGTCAGAGCGTCCTGACAGCGTCGGTAATCAGCCTCGAACGTGACCCTATCCCAAAGATGGGCGAGCAAAAAGCGTGGCAGGCTGCCGAACTGCTGGAAGTGTCGAGCAAGCCCCGCCGGAGGCAGGCCATGCACGCGAAGGCGCGGACCGCAAGCTCGGCAGAGGACTCCGCCCCAGACGTCGTCAGGGACGGCGCCGCGAAGGGCGGGGCCTCACTCTTGCGGGGGGGCGCAGCGGGAAGCATCTCAGGGAGGACGGGGCCGGCTCGGCCTGGCAGGCAGACCGGCGGCCTGCCGAAGGTGGATGCCAGAGTGCACGAGGCCGCGCATCGTGCAGGGGAAGGGGCACGCGGCGGAGCCCCGAAGGCCGAGGACAGAACAGGCAGCTGGCCGAGATGCTGGTAATCTATGTAGACGTAGCTATGGGCATCGTCGTGATCAATGGCTGCAACCAGCTGAGAGGCCCGCTGGCGTGGCCAGCACGATGGTAGGAGGATGCTCCTCAGGAAGGAGGGATCAATTGTTGCGCGCATGGGCAACATTGACTTGGCACGTGGTTGTCAGGTACAGAGGAAGGGCAACCACACACCGCGTGCGGGCACGCTATTGCTCGTGGGCTGGCCTTAGATGTTGGGGAGGAGGAGGGAGGACGGGCTAGGGGTGAGCAGGGATGAGAAGGAGTGGGATCAGGAGGAGAGGGGGGAGGAAATGGCAGGAGAAGAATGAGGAGAGGACAGTTGGGTGAAGACAGAAATGAGAGAGAGAGAGAGAGAGAGCGCGAGACAGAGACGGGGAGAAGGAGAGATAGAGATATAAAGAGAAAGAGATCGAGAGAGAGAGAGAGAGGAAAAAAAACAAACAAAAAAAGAGAGGGGGGGATATAGAGAGAGAGAACGAGAGAGGCAAACATGAATGCGAGGAAGAGGCAGGAGTAAGAGAGAAAGAACAAGAGCGAGAGAGAGAGAGAGAGAACAAAACAAATGGAGAGAGGGGCCAATGGGGCTCGACGATTCGTGGTGTGAATTCCGACGCAACTGGCATGCCGCCCCGTCCAGGGCCACTTTGGCGTCGTGAGCTGATGTCCAGAACCCCATCACCCTCAGCGAGAGAGAGAGAGAGATAGAAAAAAAAAAAGGAAAGAGAGAGAGAGAGAGAAAGAGAGAGAGAGAGAGAGAAAAAAAAAAAAAAATGGGAGGGAGAGAGAGAACCTCGCGGGACAGACCCCCACCCGACGCTCGCTGGCCGCACAGGCCCACCACGATGTCCCTGTTGAACTCCGCGCGGTCCAGGCACGTGTGGAAGGGTGAGTGGTGAACGGCGCAGGGCCGAGGGCGGCAATCCCCCCTTTCCCTCCCCCTTCTCCCTCCGCCCCCTCCTCGTGCCCTTCCTCCTCGTTCTTCCTACAGCCCTGGATAAGCGCGTCTGTGGTCGGTGGTGTCCCCGACATGCAACGGCAAAGGCGAGGCAGGACAGAGAGCAGCAGAATGACCAATATCATGCCCCTCCTCCTCATCATCATCGCCCTCCTCCTCATCCTATCTCCTCCTCTATCTCCTCCTCTATCTCCTCCTCTTCCTCCTCCTCCTCCTCCTCCTCCTCCTCCTCCTCCTCCTCCTCCTCCTCCTCCCTCCTGCCTATGGCAGCGGTGGTGGAACATGGACCCATTATCTCCAGAGGCCAAGAGGTTTGGGGACGTGCGACAAGGGCGCGCCCAGGCATGGCACGGCGTCGTGGCGCGCTGGGGGCTAGAAGATTGCCGTCCCACCTTGCGCCGTCCCCGAGGACGCGCTCGCGTTCAGCTGCTCCTGGCCCGCCTCCGCCTCGTCGGGGCGTCCAGGGGGGGCGGGGGGGGGGATCGACGCCGGGAGCGAGGGGGAAGGAGGGGCTGGAGGGAGAGGAGCAGGGCGAGGAGCAGAGGGGGTGGAGGAGAGCGAGGCAGAGCAGGGCGGGTAGGGAGCGTCGGGGGGTGGGAGGGGGAGGAGAAGAAAAAGGGAAAGTGACTGGCGGGAGGAGGGAAGGAAGAACACGGGGAGGATGGGGGAAAACGGGCGAGGAAACGAGGGGCGAGGAAGAGGGTGAGAAGAATGAAGAAGAGGACCAACAATAATAAAAGGAAGGTGAACTATCCCCTTTTTGTCCCGCATCTTTGTCTTACGATTATTTCTTCCGATTTCCGAGAAGGAGGAACAACAAAACGAAGAGGAGGAAGAAAAGGAGGAGGAGGAGGAGGAGCCAGACAGGCCACGACAGATCCAGGCGAATCAAACTGTCGTGGGAATGTCACGCTGGATGCTTGGGCATCGTCGCGCACGTCGGCCCGTCAAAATCCGTGATCTCGCAAATTGCTCGCACCGGATATTTACGATTCGACAGGATGAACCGAATCGGGGGACAAAAAAAATGCGCATCGAACCCGAATCGAATCACAACTGCATCGCGCATCGATCGGCTCGGTCGGGGTCGGTTCCCAGTCCGCATGCAACGTCGACCCGGCCAGACCCAACCCTTCGTCAATGGAGGAAGGGGGGTTCGCCCTTGGGGATGGCCACGCTCAAACCTGACTGCGCATCATCGTCGACCGTGGTCGCCAACGCTCGAGGTCGGGCACGTGGCCTCTACCTTGAGCATGTGTGCCATCGCATGAGGATCTGGCCCAGTGGGCGCGCGTGCGGCGCCCTTGGGGGACGAGGGCAATGGGGAGAAACATGGATCCACATAGTGGACGGCGCCAACCACACTGGCAGGCAACCGGCAAACCCGACCTACGGGAGGCAGCGGGCCCGAAGGCGCGTGCACCGACGAGCAGGGGCAACTACCTCGTCGCCCAACGACATGCCTCCAGCCGAGAGGGCGTGGTGCGTAGGGGGACGATCGGTTCACCTAGTCACTGTGAGAAACCTACCGATTATCGAACCATGCCCAATCAGCTGGCACGCGCAACGGGGGTTGTTTCCCAGGGTGAGCGGGCACACGGCCAACATGGGACTTACGGGCCACACATGGCCCCGCCTCTCAACCAAATGCGCAATCCCCCGTGCCTGGTACCCATCTCCAGGTCACGGAGCGCAGCTAAAATGCCACGGGCAAGATGCCACGCGGCTGGTCCTAAAAAGCGCGAGCCAGTTTAGCTGCCCCCAATCGCCGCACGCAGTCGACTCTGATGGTGTGCCCCGCAGGGTGTGTGGCGCTGACACGATGAGAACTGGTGCCAGGCCCCCACCCTCGGGGCACGTAGAACCCGGAAAAAAACGGGAGTGGCAGGAGGAGAGGACAGAAGGGGGAGGACGATGAGGAGGAGGAAGGGGAATGGCAGGAACATCGCGGTTGGACACCATTACTGTGGGGGACGGATGGGGTATCCCACGGGGCTCCGACGATGGTTCGGGGCGACTTGGCCTCTAAAAGGTTCCTGTGAACCGCTGGTCTGTTTAAGAACTTGATAATGAGAGCCGAACGCGCCATTGCAAGACCATGCGCCCGGAGGGGGCAGATCACCCCTTCGCACAAACACAAAATGGAAGACGACGACGATGACGACAACGACGGCGAACGCGACGACGACGAATACGACGACAACGACGAGAGGCTCGCCAACGGTTGCCGAATGGATCCGAAGAGGGTCCTGACAACACGCTTCGGACAGGTTCCTGACAAGGTACCTGAGAAGTTCTGCGAAACACATGGAAGAAAAAAGGTTCCAGATCGAAGATCCAGCGAGGCTCCTGAAAAGGCCATTCAAAAGGAAAGTGCCCATGGCCTCCTGATGCGCCGATGGAAATAACATGGAAAAGCCCTGCGAAACCCCTGAAGAGCTCCCGAAACCACCGTGGCAGGCCCCGGGGAAGCTCCTGAACAGTTTCGGAATCAACAAGCCCCCCACGGAGTTCCTGCGGGCCGCTTGAGAGCCCACCGAGAAGCTGCTAAGAGCCCCGGAGGAACCCGAAGCTTAATACTATTAAATTGAAGGGGCTATTTGTTAAAGGAAACAACCCTTTCAGTAAAATGCTGTTGCTCTGTTGCGCGACAACCGCGGCGGCGCGTCCGAATTACCGACCCACGTCCTACGCCAGCGCCCGGGATCTTCCAGGGAGCATTTACGACTCGCTGAAAACGTTGCCAAAGGTCGCCGAGACCCAATGTAACGCGACCTGATTACTCAAGCACATGCATCTCGGGGTGAACTGGCAAGAAAGACAAGGCCCCCCCACCCCATGACCGGGCCCTGGCCCCGCATCCCCACCGCATCCCCAGGGCTCCACTGACACAGACCACGGACTTTACGAAAGCGAGGAGACGGCTTTACTAAAACGAAGAAGCGGCTTCACTAAAGCGAGGAAGAACTTATACGAAAGCAAAGGAACGGTGTTAGTAATAGCGCGCCGCTCAACGCATTCCGAAACAAAACAAACGTTTTGCTAAGGCGAGAAGAAAGCTTTAGTAAAGCGGAGGGACGGCTGGGGTAAAACTGCGCGCTGAAATGTCGTTCGTCCCATGAAACCTGTCGCGGGGCTCCAAGAACGAGGGCGGGCCACGAATTCGCCCGTGGGCCCGGGCACCGTCGCCGCCGTAGCCGCGACGTTCGTCGTCGCCGCCGTCACCTTTGCCGCCGTCGTCGCCACCGTCGGCGCAGGCGCCGCCGTCCTCATCGCCGTCGCCGTCGTCGTCGCCGCGACGCCCGCGCATTCTCGCTATTACCAGCGGCGTGTCGGGCGTGACCGCGCGCGCCACCGCGCTCGCATTTCCGCTCGTCCGACGGGGGGGCCAAGTCCCATCCTCGCAGCTATTGCTACAAGCCTCTAACCTCCCGTCGGGGTTGGCTGCAAGCGGGCTGTAGTACGAAACCGGCATTTCCGCTGCGAGAGCATCAAGACAACAAGAACAACCACAATAACAATCATTTTAATACTGTTCGTCCTTATCTGCTCGGGTGTCCAATAACGCGTATTTCCCAAACCCTAGATACCCGCCTTCTTCGTCTTCGATCGAACCCCTTGTGGGGGGTATAACTCTCTTCCCTGCAAGCCGGGCCCCGGCAAGCGGCGGGGCGGCCGCGGACCGTCGGCCTGGCCAGCGGCAGCGCTGATCGGCGGGGCGGCCGCGGACCGTCGACCCGACCCCGAAAGGGACGGACAGGGGACCGACCACGACGACGACGACGACGTCGACGACGACGGCGGCGACGACAACGACGGCGACGACGAGCGAAAGCGAGAGAGAACGACAGCAGGGTCACGAAGGACACGAAGTAGGCCACGAAGGGAAACAGCGGGGACACGAAAGGAATGCGTATGGGGCCACGAAGAGCGCGAACGAGCGGGGGACACGAAGTGCAGATAATGCTGGGCCACAGAAGGCAACGATGGGGCCACCGAGGGTAGCAACTGGGCCACGTAGGACCATGAGGGGACCACAAACGGCGACAGCGGGGCCACGAAGGGCATGCACATGGGGCCACAACGGGCGCGACTCCTGGGTGCCTGGGTGTCGGGGGCGCGGCGCTTGAGCAAATTGCAAAAAAAAACGCAAGTGCGCTATTCTTCAATAAATTGCAAGCAAGTCTCCAGCGAGAGCGCGACTCCAGAGCGCTGGGAGAGCGATTTCTGAAAAAATCGTAAGGAATTTCCAAGCGAGAGCGCGATTCCTGAATAAAATGCGCGGGCGTCTCGGGCGGGAGCAGGGGTCCTGGCAAATTGTGAGGAAGTCTCCGGCGGGAGCCACTGTTGTTGTTGTTGTTGTTGTAACCCGGGGGCCAGGGGCGCAGTTTGAGCATCAAGCTTTTCCATACCAAAAAACAGGGTGCGAGCGTCGAGGGGCACATTTTGATTGAGAAAACCATATGAACCTGTGCGGGGGGACAGCAATAATTATTTTCAGAAATGAGAATTCAACAACACCTAATGCCATCTGGTGCTGCCCCGTTGTTCCATCCCTGTTCGCAGGAGCAGGGCTGGGGTCTGCTGAAAGGTTGTTCGGTACACTTCCTTCGTGGTCGGTTGAGACAGAGGCAAAGGCGTGTGGAACCAGTCTGTCGAACCAGTGGCTCACAATCATATCATCCCTTCAAGATGTGCGCATGGCCATTTGTAATAACAACACTTGGGACGAACCGCGCGAGAGGTGCAACTGCCCCGTGGGCAAACGGAAAAAATGCAATCGAGATCAAGGCCGGCAGAGCCAAAGGGGGACTGCCTGCCAAGCACGGGCCGCCCCCCTCCAGGATCCGAGGCAGACCCGCAGGACTGGGTAAGGCATAACGAAGCAAGGAGAAAGGAGGGGAGGAGCGAGGAACAAGGAGGGTCCAAGGCAGCAGTGCCAATGAGAAGAAGAGCCAGGGCCGCGGGCTGGCGTTAGCCTCCTGCGACACAGAACCGCAAGACGCGCCGAACGCGCCAGAGCATAGAGGTAAGGACGAAGGGGCGACACGACACCACGCGCTCAACGAGCAACCTATTTGGTGTTGATTGGTGCTTGCCGACGCCGGCACATGCAATTGTTCAGTAAACTGCGAATCACCATGTTGTAGCTGTCGCCGTTGTCTTGATAGCAACACCCTCCATCTATCACATCATGGTTTCTTGCACTACTGTGTCGTGATAGCGATAAGCCAGTCTAGCTATCATACCATTGACTGCCAACTCCCCACCCTTTTGCCTATATGCCGGAGACCACAACAACCAACAACAGGTTTTCGGATGTCGGGCGTACCCTTACCTGTCGCTTTTCCTATATGGGATTCACGGATAAAAAATGATGGTGCTGGAATGTGCAGCATCTACTTTCGCAACACCGTCGTTCAGAATGTTAGCAAAAGGTCGTGTTTCTTCTTTGTCAAAGCAGTCTCTGCTTATCTCGGAAATAAGAATATTTCAGTGCGTGCTGCTTTTCCCCCACCCTTCGGGTGATAAGGAGGTTCGGGGGGGGGGGGCACCAACGTCTCACTCGATGGGTCTCACTATCGATCTCACTATCGATTGCACTATCGGTCTCGCGCGATCGATCTCACCCGATTGATCTCACAATCGATATCACTCGACCAATTTCATCCGATATGTCTCACAATCGATCTGACGATCGATCTCACAATCGATCTCACTATCGATCTCACTACCGATCTCACATTCGATCTTACATTCGGCCTCACTACCGATCTCACGATCGATATCACAAGCAAAATCATCACCATCATCAACAACAGCATCGTCATCAACGTCATCAACATCATCACCATCATCATCATCACCGGGACACCGTGATCATCATCATCACCTCATCACCATCATCACCACCATAATCATCATCGAGACACCATCATCGCCACCATCATCATCAACAGCATCATCATCGGGACGCAGTCATCATCATCATCGGAACACCACCATCATCATCATCATCATCTCATCACCATCATGAACAACAGCATTAACATCATTATCATCATCATCGGGACGCCATCATCATCAGCAACAGCATCATCAGCACAATCATCATCATCGGGACACAATCATCATCATCATCATCATCAGTATCACCATCATAATCATCGGGACACCATTTTCATCAACATCATCATCAACATCATCGACCCGTCATCATCAAAATCAGCATCACCACCTCAACATCATCCCCATCATCAATGTCATCAGCATCGTCATTATCATCGAGACACCATCATCGTCATCATCATCAACATCACCATCATCGGGACAGGACACCATCATCATCACAACCATCATCAACAGCATCATCAGCAACCCCATCATCCTCATCGGGATTTCATCACCATCATCTTCATCATTCTCATCTCATCATCCTCTCACCATCATCGACATCATCGGAATCATCAACATCACCATCATCATCGGACACCACCATCTTCATCAACAACATCATCATTATCTACACCATCATCATAGGGACACCATCATCACCACCACCATCACCATCATCACCGTCATCGACAGCATCAACATCGTCAAAATCATCATCATCATCATCATCATAATCATCGTCATCGGGACACCATCTTCATCACCACCATCACCATCATCATCATCATCAGCATCATCGACATAGACACCATCATCATCATCATCATCATCATCATCATCATCATCATCATCATCATCATCATCATCATCATCATCATCGGGACACCGACAGGACACCGGCGGGACACAGGCGGGACACCGCGCGGCACCGAACGCCGGAAGGGAGTCATTTGGTCCGGCCGCGCCTCAGCCACAGCGGGACACCGCGCGGCACCTGTTGCCGGAAGGGAGTCATTTGGTCCGGCCGCGCCTCAGCCACAGGAGACTTTCCTCTCGCCCGCCCACGCAGCTTCGCCTTGCCCGCACGCACGGCACGCACGAACACGAAACCGAAACCGATTACCCGGTAGGGGGGCTCTCCGTTCCACTTCGATCTCACCCCCTCACCTCCGACACCTGCTAATGGCATAACTAACAAAACTTGCGCAGTGGCTGTTTGATGTTTGGTATGTTTTCGTGTATGCATTCGGCATATTCGTTCTCCTGCTCGTGCTTGTGGACTTTCTGCTCGAAATCACACTCGCTGAACCCGGGGTGGGTCCAAACATGGGGCCTCGCGACACCATCTCAGAAGTACGGTAGGCGGAACTCTGCATCCCGTGGGGTTCCTGTCCTACCCTGGCCCACTTCAAATACGAAATGGGCCCTGAAGTCCCAGGTGGGGGAACACTTGCTGTGCCCCATGCGGGTCGATCAACATCTCGATCTGGACCTGACGGCGAGCATGAGGAGAACGGGAAAGGAGGGGGAGGAGGAGGAGAAGGAGGAGGAGGAGGAGGAGAAGGAGGAGGAGGAGGATGAGCGAACGTCACTTGAGGGGCAGGTGCGTTCGAGCCTCGCCACAGCGCGGCCCCGCGCCGCCCGAGAGGTCTGCAGAGAGCCTCAGGACTGGCCATCGCTCGGGCGTCCACTCCCTGTGCTTTTTTCGGCTTCGTGCGTGGGTTTTTCGCCGAATGATCAAGGATG